GGAAAGGAGCGGGTTTGGAACTGAGGGACGCGGTCAGAGCGGTCACAGGGCAGTGGTTGGGCTGCGTGCTCTGCATGGCCCTTCTCCAACCTTGCCAGAGGTCTAACGTCTATACAAACTGACTTGTGGAAGTTGTCCCGTTTCTGCTTCCAGCCCGGCAGAGGTTTGGCTGTGCTCTGAGTGGAAACCTTGCGCGCTGCAGGTGTTTGCTGTGCAGGAGGATGGGCGGCTGTGGCTGTGACAGGTGTTGGGATGTGCTGCTCTGCCCCTCGTGGATTCCTGCTCGGGAGAAGGGAGCATCTTGTTTTTGGCGTTGAGAAAGCAGCGCTCGGATCGTTACGGCGATTGCTTGGAAGTTGTTATGCGGGGTGATTTGTCTTAGTGGAACAGTTTGAGTGTCAGCAGTGGGAATCGCGTGCTGCCCATGGCACAGGGTGGGGAGGGGGAGAGAAAAGGGAGAGCTGGGAAAGGTGTGGGGCAGCATGCAGAGCTGCTGTGTGGAGAGCTGTTGGAGATGCCAGGCTCTTGCAGGAGCTTCTCCTGGAATGTTTTGTATCAGAAATGGGATTTTCAGCCTTTGTTACATGTGGGGCTTTGATGAGCAGAAGTACGGGGTGGCTTTGAGGTGTTGTTCCGCAGGAAGAGGAGCTGGTCTGCAGGCTGGAAATGGGGCTGGGGGCATTTCCCTCCTGGATTTCTTTATTCCTTGTTTATTCTTTTTTTTTCTTCTGTTTTGCTTTTTTTTCCTCACTTTCTGCCCATGATTTACATACAGGCAGCGTCTCTATAACAATAGAATTCCAAATCATTAAAATTACTCTGGTTACTGTAGCTATTTACTCAACTTATCTTAATTGCTGCCATCAGCTTACACAAACCCAGTAAATACAGTTATCAGGAGGCAGCACCGCAGTGATACAAACAGAGCAGCTAGGCTGAGCAAACAGCTTGATGAGCACACTTGAATCTTTGCAGGATTTGTGTTTGCTTTTTAATTGAAGACCAATCTTCCCACCCTTGTGCCAACCCTTCAGTGCGCTCACAGAGGGGTGAACGCGGCTGCGAGTTGCAGTGCTGAAGAGTTTGGGAGCAGCTGCCCTTCATGCAGCCAACCTTCCCCAGCAAACATGCAGCACCTGCCCTCCCCATCCCTGAAGCTGCTTTTTGCATTTTGGGTGCCATCGTTTCCTGTCCTGCAGAATCCCAAGCTGATATTACATGCAAAGCACAATGAATTGAGCTCCCTGCAGGTGTTACCTGTGCAAAAAGCCTTGTGATCCTCATAACAGTGCAGGTCTCCAAAGCCACCCAAGGCTTGGTGAGTGGGGCACCACAGTTTACATTCAGAACTTTGCTTTATGCCTTTTCAGCTCTCTGTTGCCATTGTTTTGCAGTTAGCATCTTCTGTCTTTGGCGCTGCACATCCTTAGGACTTGGGCTGTTTGTTGAGGTGTTCATGGCAGCTTGTTGTTGTCGAAGCAATTGAAGTTGACTTGTTGCTGCTGGGCTCCCGCTCCTCATCCTTGACGTATTTCACACCCCACTCTTCTGCTGCTGACTCTGTTGTGTGCTCTCCATCGAGTCCCGCTGGTGGCACAGCAGAGGAGGGCCCTTCCCACCACAGCTCCATTCCATTTTGTTGCTGTGTGACCTCTGAGTAAAGGAGCTCCTGCTCACATCTGACCTCAGTTCCCCTCTTTCGGTGTAAAGCTGCTCCCCAAAAAGGAATCCTCCTCCTCCAGCATTTTGCACGTGGGTCAGAAAACTGATTGCCCAGATTTTAGGCATCAGCGGGTGTCAGAACTGCAGGTGTGGGGTCACAGAGCAACGCTGTGCTCTGGGCTGCGCATCAGCGCGTGGCACAGAGGGACAATAGAGGCACCAGAGGGAGAAGCAGCGCCGGGAAGGGCTGATACGAAGCGGGGGGAGGGAGAGGGGCTGCTGCCGCCTTTGGGCCTTGGTTTTATTCTCATAATCTCATCTGGGGGGTGTCAGCGTGCCTCTGTGGTCGGGATCTGTGTGCCTTCCTCCCGAGGGTCCCCGCCAGCTGCAGCGCGCTGCAAATGCTCCCTTTTTGTGTTTTGCTTTGTTGTTGTTGTTGTGTTTTTTTTTCCCTATGTATGAATTTGAATGTAGATATGTTTAAATGCACCCCTTTGGCAGCTCGGCATCGAAACACCCTTCCCAGTGGCTGCAGTTAAAGGCTTCAGATGCACCTTTAGGTCTTGGCCATGGGGTTCCGTGCTCAGCAGACAATGAGAGAACATCTGCGGTGTGAGGAGGGGGAGGCAGAAACATCTCAGCCCCGAGGATGGGGGAGAGCAGAGCAGGAGAGGAGCACAGCAGCTGTGGCAGCGTCTCTGTTTGCCAGGCTTTGCTTTGTACAAATCCATTGCAGAGCAAAGGGGAGCTTGAGGCCGAGCATCTGGGCAGAGCAGCACGCCTTCATTGCTGCTGGAACAATAAATGCAGCTGAACGTAAGTCAGCTGTGTCAGACAAGGCTTGATTTTAATGGAGGGCGACCCGTGGTCTAATTATTTTGTATGAAATCTTCTCTCCTGTATTGCAGTTACCGACAGTTTTTATTCCTGACCTTTTAATTAATTAAAAGCAAGAAGTTCTTAAGTTTGTACCATCGTTTGCTTTTTTTTTTTTGCTTTTTTTTAAACAGTCTTTGTATTGGAAACGCTGACTGAGATCGCTTTTCTTTTTCCTTTGCAGTACTTTCCTGTACCTGAAGTTCCTGGTGGTGTGGGCACTGGTACTGCTAGCAGACTTTGTCCTGGAGTTCAGGTTTGAGTATCTGTGGCCCTTCTGGCTCTTCATCAGGAGCGTTTACGATTCCTTCAGATACCAGGGCTTGGTGAGTACAGCATGGAGCTGCTGGCCCCCTGTGGGGAAGTCCTGTGAGGCAGCAGGGTAATTTCCACGCTCCACAGCTTATTTCGTGGCCCTGATGCTCACTTCCACAAAAGGAGCTGCCAGGTGGCGAGGTGACTTGTGCTCAAGTCTCTTCCTTCTCACGTTGCCTCTTTAATCTGTGGCAAATGGAAGCGGAACACATGGCTGTAAATTGTTCCCTGCAGGCAGATAGCGTTGGAATTCCTGAGATAAGGGGTTTTGTTTAGATCCCCCTCCATTAGAGCTTCCTTTAAGCCCTCGCCTGTTTAAACATTTACCACCTGGGGAGAGTTCAGTGACGCTGCTGGTTTTTATTTGTAGTCCAATCTTAATGATGGCACTGCATCAGCACTGTGTGTCAGCCATCTTCAAACAAAACAAGGCGTAAACGGTGCAGCTTGGGGACTTGCAGGAGGGGTGG